CTTCTTGTAAAGTTGTATTTTGAAGCACACTTTTTTTACAAGCCCCAGGTGTGTCTGGGTCTACTGCTGTTGACTTCTTTATCTTCTAGAAGTCCTGCTCACTGATGGCTGCATGGTGCATTGTCTTGTCCTTCCTCTAGTTATGCACGCTCAAGTTTTCAGCTTTTTTGTTTCACAAGAAAAAATATATTGCCTCTTCAAAGTGATAGGCATGTTGTGTAAATCAAATGATACAAACCCCCCCAAAAAAACAATTTTAATTCCAGGTTGTAAGGCAACAAAATATGAAAAATGACAAGGCGGGTGAATACTTTCGCAAGCCATTGTAGCTGTGGTTACATAACCCTTTATCTCCACCTGTGCGTGCCAGTTGGTTATTTTGGGATTTCCTCCCTCTCCCATATCCTGTTCCCACCATACTTTTAAATCCATGTCTCCCCAAATGTTAAAATTAATTATTTACATTTAAATTACATTTACGTCATTTAGCAGACGCTCTTATCCAGAGCGACTTACAAATTGGTGCATTCACCTTATAGCCAGTGGGATAACCACTTTACAATGTTTTTGTGTTTTTTTTTATTTTTATATTTTGTTTAATGTATTTATTTATTTATTTTTTGGGGGGGGGGACTCCTCCATGTTTTGTTTGTGTTTGTAGCAGCTGCACTGCGCTGGTCTATGAATTAATAGAATTCTGAGTGTTTACAGGTTTCCAAGGTGAATTATTAGTTTCATGTTCATTCTCTAGGCTAGCCTGCTATGGCACGGTGGAGATCACAAAATAATTGCAACAGTAGGCAGGTTTGCATTGACCCCATTGTCTTATGTCCGATGGCGTCACTCCTACGAGACGCTTGTCCCTCAATCGATCAGTGCAGGTAGAATCAACTCGCTATCTGACATGAGACAATGCGTTGATCCGTGTTTATTCTACAAAAGCAATGTCGCAAATGAAAACATTGCGACATGTGTAATGGAAACAGCTATAGGAAAAATGTTCTAAAGATCGACAACTTCTGTATCCGTTCGACGGGTGGATTTTTATTTTGTCTAACTTTCTTTATTGCAAAACATTCTAATTGAAACTGTGTTTTTGGGAAAAAATTATGATTGCAGAATAAATTTGAAGGTACATGATGTCATCGCATAACTATGAAGCACCGTCTACATTTAATTCTAAATGCTTACTGCTAAATCCATTTTTCTATAAAAATGTTTCTTTGCAGGACAAGGATTGTCTTAACTTTCAAGAATGCCTGAATTGCTTCACTTTGCTTTTCTGGTTGGATGGTTGCAAGTTTCAACATCCAATTATTTCAGATCTACGCTACAGGACTGCAATTTTCACTGATAGAAATCCTATTAAATTACTACTATTTCTATTGCTATTCTATGGTTTCACTATGGTATATAGACTGTGATAATTATTAGAAAATATTAGTCAATTCTTTCATTCTATCCATGCTGGCTTTAGTGGCCTACCTGAGACATGAAACAGATATGTCTAAAGGGCATACAATTCTTCAACCGATAACATTTTACCTAGCTTGATAAGCTAGCTAACATTGCTAATAATAAAGTCAGCTATATGCCTAACATTGACAATATGGTCAAACTAGCTACATTATACATATTGACAAGGTTGTAGTTGTCAAATGTTTTCTTTGTTGTCATCTTTTGGTTGAAAAGTGAAAAGGTCAGTGGTGAAACGTCACAACTCAGCAACTCGGGCAGTTTCCCCACTTGTAATTCCAACATGGAGGGTCATTCAAGTAAAACTTCCCAGTCGATACTAGGAATTTCCAATAACTATGATAGCATGGAAACATGGCATTATTCGTTTTTTACTACAATATTTTGTTTTATATGTGACGTCATTACGTAAAGCTGGTTTTATCAAGACAGGGTCGTTCAATGGAAACGCACCCTAGCAGGCACTTGTCACATCTATTTTCTATGCAAACTTTCTAAATGTCGTCAAAAAATCACTGGACAAGTTAATGGAAATGTAGATACTGTTGCACAGGTCGTAAAGGCAGACAAAAAGGTTTAGACAAACCCCAACTGTTACAAACCAAATCCTAGCACAGTAGCATGGGATTGTGGGGAATAATGCCACATTCACATAGTCGGAACTAGGAACCTCGGAGTTAAAATGAACGTGGAGCTTCCTATTGGTTGATTCATCTTTCTGCAACGAGTTAGCAAGTCGGAAATGTCCAAGTTTCCTACTTCCGACTAGCACATGAATGTGGCTTTACTCTCTGCTATCAACCAATCAGCATCCAGGATCCAAACCAGTTTTATAGTTATTTATTTTTGTTGTGGTGACAACAATTTAGCAGTGGTGCATTACTAAATGAATATAGCAGAAACCTTTCATTTTTGTTACACTACAAATACAACTTCTGTTGTGACTTCTGTTTTTAGCTTATTTCTTTCCATATCAAAAGGAATTGCAAGCTAACCTTTTCTACTTTTGAACTACTATTCTACTTTTCCTCCTGTAGTTTATTTCTGGAGTTAAACTGTAGCACTAACAGTAATGTATTTTCCTTTAGTACTGCCTGCTCCAGACCAGCTGAATGTTGACTCAGTGAAGAACACATCAGCTGCTGTTAGCTGGAGCCAGCCACCAGGATTGGACCAAACCCAACATCATTACCAGATCTCCTACCACTGTCCAGGGACAGAACCACATATCACTACCACATCTTCACACATCATCACTCTCTCTGACCTGCAGAGTGGTACTCAATACTCAGTCACTGTCTACACTGTGCTGAAGAATGGAATGCAAAGTCAACTGGTATCAACAACCCTCACCACAAGTAAGGAAGTACCCTATTTAACTATTGTCTGGGCAAAAAAACTGGTTTTAATGAACTATATTCAAACATAATTTGTCAATGTATTGTGACATGGAATCTACATGGAAAATACATTGGATTTGAAAAAAGTAATCAACAATGTTGTTTTGAGGAGAACATTTTTACCACAGGATTGTCATCATGGTAACCAAATTTCAACATAGAAAAACCTTTTGTAAAATATGTTGAATTTGTACCTTTTAAAACAACGTCGGATCTTTAATGTAATATCCACTATCAGAATAAATAAACAATCGGCTGGGCAGCACCTCCTACTGGAGAATTGATCTACCCTTTTGTTTCCCAGGGTTTTAACCTTCTTAGCTATGATATTTGTCACTGACCAAAAAATCAAAGTAAAAAAATAGGACTAAATCACATCAAACTTTATTTAAAGCGAATTTAACGTTTGATTTAGTCATGTTCTTTAACTTAGATTTTTGGTTGAGATGGAGACGTGAATCCAACACATCAATGATTAATTTGTAGACAAACTGGAATTAAAGCCAGACCGTGGCACAGATGGAACTATCCAGGCAGAAGATAAATCACCTTGAAATGTTGCTATTTGATTGCGTTGACAACCAAACACAATTCCATATTCCTTTTGAAATACAATAAATAGCCTATTAACTTGACGTCTTTAACTCAACCAAAAACAAAAGTTAAAGGATGGGATTAAGCCAGTTGTTCAAATGGAACTAGTTACGTCTCCTTTAAAGCTAGAATCCTTAACTGAAACAATAACAAAGCAGACCAGCCCGCCTCAGTTTAAGTAAAAAGCTGAGGGATGGGCCTGGAGAAATGTAACCACTCAAATTCATAGACAAAGCTATGGCTGCAAGGACTGACTATCCATGAAATCAACATTATAGACAATGTTTTGAGGCTATACAGAGTTTGTTTACATTTAAATTGCTTTCAAACACTGGAGTAAAACAAGCTAATATTTTGGGTTCTTATGGGGTACAACAGTTTAACTAAGCTTTTGATGCTTTTATAATGTGTATTCTTCAAAAATCAATGGGTATATATAATTACTTTAAATGTCCCAAAATGGATGTAGCAACTAAGGATTCTAGCTTTAATGTTGATGTTTGGTTGTGTTGTCAACCAAACACAATTCCATATTACTTTTGTAATACAGTAAATAGTGTAAAGTTATCTGACTGTAACGTTCAACCTTAAAATGAGTAACACATCCATGGCCACATGTTGAGGTTACTGTAACTATACATTTCTTCTTATGTAATCATATAAAGTCTGCATGTTTAAGATAGCATGAAAAGGACATCGCAGGTCTGTGGAGATCTTCACAATTGCTGTAATAATCTGGTAGAATCTCGAATGGCATTGATAACTTGCACCATATACTTTTAATGTAATCTCAACTGCAATTCAGGTCACTAGGTTAAGCTATTACATTTACATTTTAGTCATTTAGCAGACGCTCTTATCCAGAGCGACTTACAGTTAGCGAATACATATATATATATATTTTTATACTGCCCCCCCGTGGGAATCAAACCCACAACCCTGGCGTTGCAAACGCCATGCTCTATCAACTGAGCTACATCTCTGCCGGCCATTCCCTCCCCTATCCTGGATGACGCTGGGCCTTAGACCACTGCGCCACTGTTTTTGTGTTGAATAAATAAACAAAATATCTCACATTGTATTCCCATTGGAATTTGGTTGTGCTTTTAGATGGTTGAAAGCATAGTGATAACACATTGGGATATAAAGTACATTTTGGCTGTCTTTTTGAGTGGGTGAATGTAGGTTGTAATCTCATTGATCAACGTCTCAACCAAATACTACCCAATTATCCATGTTGAAATGATGTTGTTTGCCCAGTGGGTAGTTATCAAAATGACTCTATGAACTAATCATAATGGATGTGTCAGCATGGGATGTAAAGGTACAGTATCTTCCCTGATGGGAAATATATGATGGTGAATTCACTGGATCTTTCCTATTTCCTAATCTTCCTTTCTATTTACAGAACCCTGTCTCATGGAGCTGTTGTCAAAGGCTGGACTAGAAGATCATTATGAAAACAAGCTGACGTTAAGTACTGTCCTTGAGATAAATGATAATACTACATCCGATGAACCACTTACCACTATGCAGTCACTTCCAGGGGCCTTCCTTAAGAAATTAATGATGGCAAATGTGAATGCTAGGAGTGTCAAATGTATGTCCACTGACCAGGAAGTTTTCTATTATGGTGTAGCCAACCTGGACACTGACTCTGATACCAGCAATGTAATTCATCCACTGGACCTGATAACTGCCCTGTTTCTGTGCTCAGATGGTTTCCTGCAGCAGGAGATGGTCCAGAAAATGTCCATGTGTCAGTTTGCTGTTCCTCTCCTGCTGCCAAACTGTGACACAAAACAAAGCACTTTGATGCTGTGGGCCTTGAGGGACATAGTGAAGAAGTTTAGACCCTCTTCACAAACAGCCACAAATGCTTTCGTGGAGGAGAGAATAGTTCTCTCTGATATTCCTATGGTGTCTTTTGTTAGGCTAGGAGAGAGCAGCTTGTCCAAGTCTCAGATTTTGAACAAGTTGCTTAGTAACCCTCAACAGTACCATGATACATTTGTTCATCATGATATGGAATGTGGCGATGTCCCTCGGCAAATCTCAGATGGTCTAGTTGAAATCAGCTGGTACTTTCCATCTGGGAACAGAAACATAGACATGTTCACTAAGCCTGTCGCTGTGGCCAATCTCAGAGGAGACATCAGGTCCTTTGAAAAACAGTTCTCCTTTCTGTGTCAAACATCAGCTGCAGTTTATATTTTCATTGATGACTTCGAGGCAGATCTCAAGGTTTTGGAAGGAAAAAGCACAAAAGCAGAGTTATTTCTGGTTGTCAACTCTCAGAGAAAAAAATTCAAGGTGGATACATTGAAGAAAATGATCGCACAATACAGTATCAAAGAAACAAATGTGATTTTGAAAAAGAAGCAGAATGATGCAGAATTTGTCAAAACCCTGCAGTCAATTGTGGGTGACATCATCAAAAAAAGTAAAAACAGATTGACAATTGAAAACATGGCTGCCGTGGCTCATCAGTTTGGGATTCTGATTGATGAAGATGGTGAGTGTCAGAGTGCCAAGACCATGGCAGATGAAATCACCAGGAACATCACAGACACAATTAAATTCAAAGATGAACAGCTACCCTTACAAGGCCAAATCTGGAAAGAGCTTTCCCAGTTAGAAAAAGAGAGGTGTAGGTTGAGAAAAGCAGGGGATCAAGACATTGAACACTACAAGAGCTCTCTTAAGAAAAAGCAGGCGGAGTTGAGAAAGAAGCAACATAAACTTGACATGTCAGATGCAATGACAAGCTTCATTTTCGGAATGTCAAAATCAGGACCTGAGCGATCCTATTTCCTCAAGTGGATGCGGATAAATCTGGACAATCTGTCACGGCAGAACCTGTCTGGTTTGCGGGACCAGTACAAAGATCTTTGCCAACATTCTCCGGAGAAAAAAGATGACATTAAAGATTTGGATAAGCAATTATCTGACTGTTCCTTAGGTCTTGAACACTTCCTACGTGAGTTGGGCCAGTTATATGAAGCTGCCTGCTCCCTCCCTGAACGTAGCCAACAAAGGAAACAGATGGAGCATCTCCCTGGGTTGTGTGCTCAGATGCTGTTGGATGGCTCCCCTGTTGAGCTTGTGGATGGAGATGCATCAAATATCCCTCTGAAATGGATATCAGCTGTACTGACTCAGCTTCATACTCTTGTCCAATCCAACAGCAAGATCCGGGTGGTCACAGTTTTAGGGGTCCAAAGCACTGGGAAGTCCACTCTCCTCAACACCATGTTTGGGGTCCAGTTTGCTGTCAGCAGTGGAAGATGCACCAGGGGTGCCTTCATGCTACTGATTAAAGTCAACAAAGAACTCAAGGAGGAACTGAAATGTGACTTCATCATGATCATTGACACAGAGGGGTTGAAATCACCAGAGCTGGCTCAACTAGATGATAGCCATGAACATGACAATGAACTGGCCACACTGGTGATAGGACTCAGTGATGTCACTATTATCAACATCGCCATGGAGAACTCCACAGAGATGAAAGACATTCTACAGATTGTTGTTCATGCTTTTATCAGGATGAAGGAAGTGGGGAAGAAGCCAGTATGTCATTTTGTGCACCAGAATGTGTCAGACATGTCTGCTCATGACAACAACATGAGGGACAGGAAGAAGTTGTTGGAACAGTTGAATGAAATGACCCAGGCAGCAGCCAGAATGGAGAAGAAGGAGAATATCACCAAGTTCACTGACGTGATGGACTATGATCCAGACACAAGCAGCTGCTACATCCCAGGACTCTGGCATGGGACTCCCCCTATGGCTCCAGTCAATGCTGGCTACAGTGAGGCGGTGTACAGCTTCAAAAAGACCTTGATGGAAGATTTCAGAAAATGCCAGAGAAATGATGATTTGACACATTTCTGGAAGTGGACACAATGCTTGTGGGAGGCAGTGAAATTTGAGAAATTCATCTTCAGTTTCAGAAACAGCTTGGTTGCAGATGCATACTCCAGATTATGCTCGGAGTACAATGGTTGGGAATGGGCCTTCCAGAGGGAGATGTATACATGGATGGTGGGTGCTGAAACTAAAATATCCAATATTGGCTTGACAGATCAATTTCCCCAGAGGTCCTTAAAAGATGTGCAAAAAGACTTGATGAGAGAAGCATCTGAGAAGCTTGCAAAGGGAGAAAAGGAAATCCAAGACAATCTAGTAAAATACTTTAAAAAGCAAGATGGCCATGTCAATCTGGTGGAAAAATACAAGGAGGACTTTGTGTGTAGTGCTAAAACACTGAGACGAGAGACAGAAAACACAGTGAAGAACAAACTGCAAGGAGCTGTTGACATCAAAGAGGGAATGACAGAACTGAACAACATCAAGAGCTCTCAGACAAGTAAAATGGAAAAGAAGGTTTTGACTCTGCTGCAGAACTGTACACAGAACAAATCTGGTCTATCAGATGAGGCCCTCAGTGAAGAGTTTGAAAACATGTGGAGGAACACTCTGTCTGAGATTCACTTCAAAACACTCCCAAGAAGAGATGTGGCTCAAGATGCCTTCCTCATGTTACTTGATAATCTGTTAACGAGGGGGAGTCATGTCAAAAGTCTGTTGGTTGGAACCAGACTGGTGGATTGTGGGAGAAAAGCCTTTGTTTTGGAATCAGAGAGTTGGTGGCAGCAGGCTAAAAGCATAGCAAAGCACGTGGGTCGCGACCATCGCAGGAATAAACTACAAGACCTCTGTGATGACATCATAAAACAGTGTCAGGAGTTTATAACCCAGAGGGTGAAAAGCAAAACAGATTACCATGACACTCACATCAAAGAACTGCTTAGAATAATTGACAAAACATTGCTACAACACACACAAGTTAAAGCCAGTGAGGAATGTGAGGTTTCTCTGAAGCTACACATCTGCGGCAGAGCAGCCAGAGCGTTTCAGAAGATGCATGATGATTTCATTGAAGTCAATGACCCAAGGAAATATCTGGAAAATTCTAAGAACAAGTACCTTACTGAGTTCAGAGACTTGTTTCATAACCGACCAGTGTCTAAAGAAAGCTAAGGACTTCACAAGCTCTGTCTAGAGCCAGCTGTACAGGATTATGTGACCAGATTGATTGGTCCTGATGTGGTTGAGGAAGTGAAGACCAGTAAAGTGTTAGCGGATTACAGCACCCGAGGAGCTTTCCAGTTCTCCATTTTGAAACAGCTCCTGGCTGATGAAGGATATGAGAAATATAGAGAGTACATTAACCATTATGAAAGGTTTGTGAAGGACTGGCTGTTTGACCAAATTGTCCAACGACTTTCAAAGGAGAACAGTCTTTAGAAACTAGAGATAAAACATCTGTCAGAGGTAGTCAAATTCATAATTGCTGCCATTTCAAATGTCAGCAATACAGCTATTGTAAATGATAAAGATATTCATTGACATTTTTTGCAATGCTCTTGGAGAGAAGCATTCTTAAATATGCAAACACATAACAGTTTGCTGAATACCTCACATAGTTTGTGGGAGAAATGAAGCAGTCACTGGCAGCTGAGTACTGTCGTAGAAATATTTGACTGAAAAGTAGTCAATTTAAAGATATTTCTCAAGAGACCGGAGCTTGTGAATCCAAGAATTAGACTTTATTGCATAATAAAGCCGAGCTTGCTCCATGGAACAACTGTCTCTCTTTTGCTTAGAGATCTCTTATATAACACACAAATGCACAGTCATGTATACATAGCTTACAAAGCTACTCCCCTTAAGATCACTGATTAACTTCTTTAACTGCCACGCCACTATTATCTTTCAAAGTCCAACAACACATGTTGTTTACTCCAAAAGACCATGTGCGCTTTTCCATATGGCCTCTTCCCCTTATCTCATTATATTGGTGACGTGGCTCAGACACTTTTAAAAATAAAATGCATACATTCATTAAAGCATGTTTACACATTATATTGACTATATTCCTTATTTAAACATGCATCTGGACTTATAAAATGTCAATCATGTTTACTATATTTTATCTTTGACATTTCCCAACATTTTCCTTAATGATACATAAAATATTACCATAGTACGAAAAGGGAGGAGACATCAAAGAAAGACTCAGATCTCTTCCATTCAAGCCTCACGATGAGATGTTCACCAGTCTGTTTGGCTGTGGGAAGCAATGTCCCTTCTGTGGTGTACCTTGTGAAGCAGGGGGGATAGAGCACAACAAACACCATTCCTCCATTCACCGTTCACAAGGTATCTGTGGTTATCGGAATAATTATTCAAAGAAATTAGTAATTGAGATATGTTCATCTCTTGTGGTTAGTTGCAAAGCAACATTCTCCAACGCTGTGACTGGAGGAAAGTTTCACCCCTACAAGGACTACCAGACATATTACCCTGACTGGATCATAACTGGTGATGCCAGCGTGGAGGTGTCAGACTACTGGAAGTATGTGATGGCCACATTCCATGAGAGAATCGCTAAAGAAGTAAATGCACTTCCTGCTGATATCCCAGGGGACTGGAAGGCATTAACACCTGATGATACAATGAGAAGCTTAAAAATGTCATTCAACATGAAATGAAGTACTATATAATGACTTGTTGACCAAAAACATGATTGACTTTTCATAGACTTAACAACCAGGAATGACATATCACAGAATCAACATATGTAGAGCCAGTTGTCTCAATAAAGTTTTTGAAATAATGTGCAGATCCGGCAATACCCAATGCAATTTTGAAAATAGAAAAATGCAGCATGAAAAATATATTTATTCTATATGCATTCAGAAACTATATGACATCTTAGCAATTCACAGATCTGATGTTCCATAATGAAATACATAGCTAACACTTTGAATTTGATGTAAAAGGAATAACATTTTCTAATAGATGTAGATGTAAGCAAAGCGCTTTAAGGAAATTCAGAAATCTTACAAATAAGAAAAGTCAAGGTGAACACCAACAGGTTAACCAACAGATTCACAGTGTTTTACTTGATAATGTCCATAAATAAACACAATACACAGGTCTAGTCTGACATTGTTCATTTAGTTTCAATTATAATAATTATAGTTCTGTATTTTACTTACCATCTAACCTATGGCTTGATATGCCTTGATCAAATATTAATGATTAGAAGGGACTGCATGGTTCAGTACGAAACAGTTGTTTTTTGTTTTTATTTTAATTGTGAAAAAAAATATTTTTTGTTTCACATTTATTATACTTTCACCAATTTACTTAATCAAAAATGATTACTTACTAAGTAGATTAAAAATGTTTTTATTGGACCACACCTTAATAGTGATTTGTTCAATGACGTGGCCAGTTTTGAAGGTATTTCCCAGCGTCAATCTATTCAATTATTATTTTATTTTTAATGATGTTGATAACAATGATTATATGATGATTTTATGTTTGTTGTTGATGATGATGATTTTCTTCTTGTTGATGATAATTGAATTTTTTTGTTAAAGATGATTACATTTGTGCTATTGATTATTACATTTGTGTAGTTCATGACAACAAGTATGGTGGTTATGATAATAATGTGAGATTGAGGGAATTACTTTTCAGCCAATAGTTGATATTGTTTATATTTTTTTCTGCAGTGAACACATAGTTTACAGACATATTGTGAAATAATGCAAATGATGAATACAATTAACAAAACATTATTTGGTTGAAAACATTATTTGGTTTAAAAACTTTATTTGGTTTAAAATCATTATTTGGTTCACTTGGAATCTGTTTTGGCTATACCATTTTAATCAGCTGTATACAAATAAAGGCACACAATGTGTGTATCAAGTATCTAAGAGTGAAGTGCTGATCTAGGACCAGGCAAACCCTGTCCATGTAGTCTTATTCAATGTGATCTAAAAGGCTAAACATATCCTAAATTAGTGCTCTTGCTCTGAGACGCTTTATACTTTCAGCCCATGTTAATAAAAAAACAAACAGAATTGACCACTAGATAGTGGTGTTGGTATGTCATCTGTGGTAATGTAAACAGACCAATTGCTTAAAAATCCCTTCTCTCCTTGTCTCCTCCCCTGAATCTGCACTGATTGGCAGATCAGTGAAGGAGAGGAGCGATTTCTAGACGACTGAGAAAGAGCCAAAGTGTATAAGGGTAGTGTTGTGTGTTGAATAAAATAAGTAGTCCTTGGTTCTATAGTTTTGAAGACCAACATTTCAACCTGTATATATTCTCAATTATTCTAATCCAATATATACCCAATATACAGTATGTATCCAGTATATTCTATATATTATATGCATACACTGTGTGAATCAGTAGAATGTTTATACTGTGTTGGAATCCTCACTCCTGTTCAGAAATCAGAAACCACGCTTAAAACGTCCGCAGCCAAGCTGACAGAGAAATTCCTCTACCTGCTCATTCTGGACCAGTGAATACACTGACCAAGACATTCTGAAACCTGAGTTGTTGACTAGATCGAACCATGTATTTTTAAGTAGCATGTCAGCGCTCTTAGTACCATGTTAACTCTCTGTTAAACATCATATTTGGGTATAGTAGTTTTCACCTGTCAACTCTATAATTATCAGTTGTAGTGACGGCCAAGGAACTTTCCCATGTCGACCAATCAAACGTATGGGCGGTTTTGGGCCCACCAATTGTGTGTGAGTTGGCAACATAAAATACCTGTAGACATTTAAGGTGTTTGTTGAAGTGCAACCCTTCCACCATGGCGTATTAAAATAATATTGGACCAGGAGAACCTGTCATAGATTCCTTGAGTCGTCTCATCACTCCTCTATTCATCTGAATTCAATATTTAATCTTCAATTTAATTTGCAATTATTGAAAAACAACCAAACAGAATCTGCACCACTTGTTTACTAGTTTAATTATCTTTAATAATCACATCTAGTCATCACACCAGTAGTGGTGCGTGGGTAAAATCACTGGGGAAGTCAGAAAAAAGCAATATTACAACCTATGTGTTGTGATAATTGCGTTGTTTGCTCTATAACGTGTTAGTTCATATGCCTTGACACCGTGATATACAGTAGAAGTCAGAAGTTGACATACACCTTAGCCAAATACATTTAAACTCAGTTTTTCACAATTCCTGATGTTTAATCCTAGTAAAAAATCCCTGTCTTAGGTCAGTTAGGATCACCACTTAATTTTAAGAATGTGAAATGTCAGAATAATATATTTATTTATTTCAGATTTTATTACTTTCATCATATTCCCAGTTGGTCAGAAGTTTACATACACTCAATTAGTATTTGGTAGCATTGCCTTTAAATTGTTTAACTTGGGTCAAACGTTTCGGGTAGCCTTCCACAAGCTTCCCACAATAAGTTGGGTGAATTTTGGCCCATTCCTCCTGACAGAGCTGGTGTAACTGAGTCAGGTTTGTAGGCCTTCTTGCTCGCACACGCTTTTTCAGTTCTGCCCACATATTTTCTATAGGATTGAGGTAAGGGCTTTGTGATGGCCACTCCAATACCTTGACTTTGTTGTCCTTAAGCCATTTTGCCACAAAGTTGGAAGTATGCTTGGGGTCATTGTCCATTTGGAAGACCAATTTGCGACCAAGCGTTAACTTCCTGACTGTTGTCTTGAGATGTTGCTTCAAAATATCCACATCATTTTCCTTCCTCATGATACCATCTATTTTGTGAAGTGCACCAGGCCCTCCTGCAGCAAAGCACCCCTACAGCATGATGCTGCCACCCCCATGCTTCACGGTTGGGATGGTGTTCTTCGGCTTGCAAGCAACCCCCCTTTTCTTCCAAACATAACGATGGTCATTATGGCCAAACAGTTATATTTTTGTTTCATCAGACCAGAGGACATTTCTCCAAAAAGTACGATCTTTGTCCCCATGTGCAGTTGCAAACCGTAGTCTGGCTTTCTTATGGCGGTTTTGGAGCAGTGGCTTCTTCCTTGCTGAGCGGCCTTTCAGGTTATGTCGATATAGGACTTGTTTTACTGTGGATATAGATACTTTTGTACCTGTTTCCTCCAGCATCTTCACAAGGTCCTTTGCTGTTGTTCTGGGATTGATTTGCACTTTTCGCACCAAAGTACGTTAATCTCTAGGAGACAGAATGCGTCTCTTTCCTGAGCGGTATGACGGCTGCGTGGTCCCATGGTGTTTATACTTGCGTACTATTGTTTGTACAAATGAACGTGGTACCTTCAGGCGTTTGGAAATTGCTCCCAAGGATGAACCAGACTTGTGGAGGTCTACAATTGTTTTTCTGAGGTCTTGGCTGATTTCTTTAGATTTTCCCATGATGTCAAGCAAAGAGGCACTGAGTTTGAAGGTAGGCCTTGAAATACATCCACAGGTACACCGCCAATTGACTCAAATGATGTCAATTAGCCTATCAGAAGCTTCTAAAGCCATGACATCATTATCTAGAATTTTCCAAGCTGTTTAAAGGCACAGTCAATTTAGTGTATGTAAACTTCTGACCCACTGGAATTGTGATACAGTGAATTATAAGTGAAATGATCTGTCTGTAAACAATTGTTGGAAAAATTACTTGTGTCATGCACAAAGTAGATGTCCTAACCGACTTGCCAAAACTATAGTTTGTTAACAAGAAATATGTGGAGTGGTTGAAAAACGGGTTTTAATGACTCCAGCCTAAGTGTATGTAAACTTCCGACTTCAACTGCATAGGCCTAAAGGCCGAGACAATAAGAAGACACAGTGGCAGAATAAATTCAACCACACCTTTGTTTAATCACAACCCCGGATAGCAACCTATGTCCGGTGATCACACAGATAACTAGGTTCAACACTATCATTCTTCTCCAGTTCTTCTAACAGATCAGTTATCTGGTGATAGTATAGTGATCTGACATCTACATTACTATAACAGGTCAGTTATCTGGTGATGGTATAGTGTTCTGACATCTACACTACTATAACAGGTCAGTTATCTGGTGATGGTATAGTGTTCTGACATCTACACTACTATAACAGGTCAGTTATCTGGTGATAGTATAGTGTTCTGACATCTACACTACTATAACAGGTCAGTTATCTGGTGATGGTATAGTGTTCTGACATCTACACTACTATAACAGGTCAGTTATCTGGTGATGGTATAGTGTTCTGACATCTACACTACTATAACAGGTCAGTTATCTGGTGATAGTATAGTGTTCTGACATCTACACTACTATAACAGGTCAGTTATCTGGTGATGGTATAGTGTTCGGACATCTACACTACTATAACAGGTCAGATATCTGGTGATAGTATAGTGTTCTGACATCTACACTACTATAACAGGTCAGTTATCTGGTGATAGTATAGTGTTCTGACATCTACACTACTATAACAGGTCAGTTATCTGGTGATAGTATAGTGTTCTGACATCTACACTACTATAACAGGTCAGTTATCTGGTGATAGTATAGTGTTCTGACATCTACACTACTATAACAGGTCAGTTATCTGGTGATAGTATAGTGTTCTGACATCTACACTACTATAACAGGTCAGTTATCTGGTGATAGTATAGTGTTCTGACATCTACACTACTATAGCGACTCATGTTTCGCCATCAGGTAGAAGAC